ACATAGACAGCAGACAAATTCTTTGTCAATCTGTCCTGTCTTACAAGTTTTGAGTTTCGGACTGTAACCTGGAGGCTAAACAGGAGGATCGTCCCCAGGATGAGAGTGGCAGTGCACAGTTCAGGTATAAAGTCCTGAGGCCTCTGAGAGAGGACTTTCAGTGCAAAAAGCCTGAATGTGAGGCCACAGACAGACAATTGAAATGAGCCACACCAGCAAAATCACCTGCTAATCTCTCCAGTTTTCCCTCTTTTTCGTCTTTGTCCTCTTCCATCATTTTGAGAAGCATACATGCAGATATACTTACAGAATGAAGCTTCCAGAAAGCAAAGAGAAAACAGCAGCAACACTGGAAGTGCTGCAAAGATGCACAAACAGACAATTCTGAAATAGATCTCAGCCAATTTTATCTGGTGCATATTTTCTCTTTCTGTTTTTTTTATTGGCACAATCAGATCAAGGTGAAGCAAAAATAACCTCAGTGATTCACATCAGTGATTTGAGCAGTTATGTAGCAGGTACAACAACAAGTACAAATGGTGGAAAACCAGAACTGTACACAGTAACTAACCCTCAGTCATTAAAATCCATCTAACACCATCTAACTCTCACTTTACAGACCAGTTTGTAGGTGGATTCAGGTAAGAAGAGATGCTCGTGTGACTCATCTGCACTGACGACCCGTCCTTCTCTCGAGCACGTCAGCGCTGTGTTTAAAAAAAAATCACTCCTGTCTCTTGAGTGTGGTGCTGGTCGAGGAGGAAAGGTTGTGCTTGGCTGCACAATTATGTCTGAAAAGATCATCCAGAAACACCATTACGCTGTTAGACAGTACTTTACAAAAGCTGCAATCACAAAGGACTCGGCACTTCAACTCCTTCACACAGGAGACAACAAATACAAAATGACACATGATCCAAAATTAGCTTCCATCTCTGCTGGGAGAAAAGATAAAAAGTTACAACTGACCACTTGAATCAGTCAAAGAATTCAGGATTTGATTGGTATATGCTGTAAGTGTGTACTTTTATACACTTCAGTTAATACCTCAGAGTTGAAGCTATAACTCTAATGTCTTTCTTATTATAAATGACATAAAACATTTATGGTTTACAACTCCTTAAATATCCTACATACAGGACTTAAAAATTATTACATTATTTTCTTTTTCCTAAATGATCTTATGTAGGACGTGATTTATAGATAGGCTAAACTTTTCATGTTCATTCAGGGTATGCCCATAATGGTAAATCCAAACTGTAGGCTACCTTTAACTCATACCTGCACATCTTAAAAATACAAAATTATTAGACCAAGTGAGGTGCCATATTTACAGCAGTGAAAACCCTAAAGATGATGATGACGATGACCTGTTAATAGCTTGACAAGGATGGTTACTCATCGATGTTGAAGCTAGTGGCCAGAAAGAAATCTAAACTCTGCATTTAGTTTGCTTCAGACGGAGGAGAATGGGAATTCATTTTAGGAAAAACGTGATTTTCATGTTATTTTAATACTAATAAACACATCTAGCTAGCGTTCTTAAACTCAGCCTGGATAAACGTATATTTTCATTGTATGTTTGGTCTCAAATTGTATATAAAGTAGTAAAAAGTATTAAAAGCCTTAAATATATATTCTCTGTACCTGTAAACACCCAGCATTGCTCAGAATCGCATCAGGCTTATTTGTCACTATTTACTAATATTGTATAGAAAAAAGCCATCAGGAAATTTTATGTAATGTTATAATTAATAATAATTAGTTATATCCTAGTGGGTTAAGAGGTCGCTTATCTCATGATGTTTTCCTTGGTGGGAACGGGTTTAGACTTGGAAATGATGTGTTTATGCTCTTGTGATAATTGACAGGTTTTATCTGCGCAGCTGCAGCTTATCTCTCCGACCACGCCGCACTCCTTCCACACTTCTCTGCTCCTGCAGCTTTTCTCTTTGCACGCACGCACACAACTTCTACCTTTCCTCTCAGTGCAAATAAATGCTCTTTAGTGATTCACTGTTAGCTGCACTGCAGTCTGACTCACTATCTGTCTGTGGAGCACAACATGGAGGCATGAAAAAACACCAACACTGGATGGAGTTGATTTGTTTCTCCACAGGGCACAAGATATCACGTCATGTTAGAGAATCAGTGAATTAGCAGATGTGATTGTACAAGAAAATATTTGAAAATATTGTTTTCCTATTTATATTAAACTGAACTTTTCTGAAAATTGTGCGCTCTGAAACATCTCACTGTGAAAGTACCAAAAAATGTATAATCACTACTCATCTGTTTATCCGTGAAATGATCCAGTGCAAAGTGCAAAGGACAACATCCTGCAGATATGGCGCTGGAGCTTCACTCAATCAAACATGATTGATCAGGTGATTTGAGCACTTCTAAAGACGCTGATCTCCTGAATTTTCATTGCAAAGGTGAAGATAGATAGATAGCCAGCCAAAAAGGTGTTTGGTCTATCATCTGGACACAGGAAAGAGAACAAGGATACAGGAAACAGAGAAGAGTATTCCAAGGAAGAGGTTTGCAAAGAGGAAGTGGGATGTGAGGCTGAATAACAAGGAAGGATTTGCATCCACAGAGACCAACGTAGGGCACATCGGACATCTGAAGAAGCTTTTATGCAAACATGAAGCTGTGGATGCTTAAAACAGCTTGATCTAATTAGGGTTGGGAAGGTAGGCACAAAGGATATCAGGGCACAAGAATTAGGAAGCAAAATCAGTACAAGCCATGTGAATAAACTAACCTTCAGAGTAAAACAGGAAGTAGGAAAAAGGCATACCTACACAAGAAGACTGAAACTAAACATGATAAGAGAGACATTTAAATGTTTCCTGTCTTAGACTTTTATCAAATTATATTTTTTGGTGCTTTGACAGTCAGTGTTTCATCAAATGCACCTGCTAATAAAACTTAACACATTCCGAGTGTGTTAGTATAAAACAAAGGCTGAATTTTGTCACCGAACAACAATATTGATCACGTTGAACCATTATTAGTTAGAGTTCAAATGCCATCTCTCCTCTCTGAGGCTGTGCTTGGCATTCAGTGATGATCCTATCACACTGCCTGTGTTCTCTTCTGAAACGTTTGTCTCTTTTTCTGACCCCAGAAAGCTTTGGAGGTGAAGAGAGAGGAATATGAACGTCTGCCAGGGTGGAAGCAAGTGAACTTAAAGAAGGCCAAAGGACTGTTTTAATCGTGTTTTTAATAGGAGTTGGTACGTGAAGAGGTACAAGAGAGGACAGTCGAGAGGGAGATGTGAGAAGAAGCCGCAGAGAGATGAACCTGCTTTTGATCTGATACGAGGAGAATGAGACTGGAGATGCACTCGCCTCGCTTATAGTGATGTTTTACTTCTCAACTTTGTCGTTATTTAACAAAATGAAATTCAAGCGGTATAACAACCAGGTTAAAAAAAAGACACCTAGCTTTGTTGCATACATGGCTTTTATGTGTGTCATAGCACTAAAATCACCGCTTATGGACTCGTCAAAGAAAAAGACTTGGACGCTTGTTGTCAGAGTGCCATGCTGTGGTTGTGTATGTGTGCGACTGTATATAATGTTTGTGTGCAACGTTAATTTGTGTAAAACTGTGTGTAGGTGCGCCTGTGACTTTGTATCTATGTAAAAACGAGTCCTGTCGTGTCAGATGTTGTAAGGAAAGTCGTCACTTCTTCTGTCCACACTGTCTGGATGCTGCCAGGCCTCATAGGTAACTCATATTGCTCAAAACTGCTGAAGTGACCCTGGTTTATTGGGCACCTGAGGGTTTAATTAGGAGAGAAACAGCAGCTTGAAGAATCTGATTGTATAGTGCCTTGCTTTTTGTGTACAGTTTATATACAGAAATTCTAGTCTGCATTTTTAAAGACTTTCTTTGTGATATAAGACATAGTGAATTAAATCACAATAATGCTCAACTCAGAAGTGGAGTCATTTGTGTCCTTGCTGCATACACTTTCATTTCACTGCATCATATCTCCAAAATACAGATTCTATCATGCTATCAGGAAAGAGTGAAGGGGGAAATTATAGCAACTGTTCCAAGTATTTTTACATAACTCAGTTTTTCCTTTTTCACTTTTTTTCACATTTTTTTTTCTGGTGGTTGTAATGAACTACTGGACTCTGCCCTCTGCTTTTGATCTAACTTGAAGATTAAAATAAAAAAATTATCATAAAATGTTGTCCCAATTCCAAAGACGCTGTGATGCAGAGTAGAATATAAATAGGAACCGAATGCAATGATTCTATATATTTTTTCACAGCACAGCACAAAAAACATCAAATGTTTGAACTTTGAGGAGGAAAAATGTCAGTTTAAATTTCCTGGCAGCAACATGTCTCAGAACACTTGGGGCAGTGTAGCATCCCCACTTCTTTTGGAAACTACTGTTAAATGTTTGGTAACAGCCCCGTTGCTGTGCTTCTAGGAGAGGAATATTGTTGGGACTGTGTAGTTTTTGTGTATTTTTTGTTTGATGGTGCAATAAGTCTTTTCAACCTGAAAGGTCTGCAAGTGCTCCCGAGCACATGCAGTGATTTTCATGACAGAATCAATCATGGAAATCACTGCATGTGTTGCTTGAGGCAGCCTCTCTGAATCTTTTGATGATATTAAGCACTGCAAATAATAAGATAAGCATAGAAAGGCCTTTTTTCAGAAACTGTAAGTTTAATGCAAGTTTATGAACAATCTAACTGATCCTACCAGGACAGCTGAAAAATCTTCTGCTGATAAAAGAAAACGAAAAAAATGTTTTAGTTGCCAAATGTCCGAAGTCTCTGTGGATTAACTATCATTTCAAAATTCTTTTTCTGAGTATCAACTTTTAATTGCAGTGGGGATGATGTTGTTTCTAAGATTACATTAGCTGGATTCAACAGTTTTATTACTCAGTCACACGGTAACATTGGTGCTTATTTACCAAAATATATTCCAGCAGAGAGCTGAACAGAACAGAGTCTGCGCAGACTTCGTCATGACGCGCATTGATCGGGAAGGGGTCCGAAGTCTGTGAGAGCGAACAACGTGCTTAAGATTAACCGGATTTAGTAAAACAGTAACTGAATCCATCCGACTCGGTAAGTTTTGTTTTTAAGACAGAGAAGAAAATCTGAAGACATGCAGGCCACTCCCAGTTATGCGTCTGTGCTCAGATGTTTTGAAAGTGTTTACAAAATACGCTTCTTCTTTTGCACAGCGAATACCTTCGTCAGAGCTGACGTGGAGATCTCTGCAGAAGTTTAGCACTATTTAAAGTATAGTTTATTTTCTGGTAGATTTACCCAGATTCTGCAGTATAGTTTCAGACTTAAACTAATTAAAAGTGCGATTTTTTTTAAGGGAGCAAGCTTCGACTTTACTGTTTTCCTGCAGATGTTTGTTTTAGCTTTGCTGCGTTTGCGTTACACCGCGCTTAAATTTTGTTGCGCTTCTACCCTAAATTTTTTTGGTAGTCTTTCTCCTTTGGTGAATTTTGACCTTTACTACAAGCATAATTTCACTAGACTGTAAATTTACTTTGACTATCATCTTGCTGAAGAAAGTCGACTATGATGGCGTTATATGGGAAATTGCGCTTCCCCGTTTGTTTCTTGTTTGTTTCAGTATTAAAATGCACGATACAATCTAATAGTGATAGATAATAGTGTTTTAAAAATATCAAAAATACATTTATGGAAGGTTGTTTCTTTTCTGTTTAACAATAATCACCAACGAAGAAGACGCACTACCACAAAACCTAGGGTAGAAGCGCAAAAATATTTAAACGACCTTTAGCCTAAAAAAAACCTGATCTGTCCGCCTGTGTGATTTATTTGAGAGGAGATTGGTTGTTGCATGGACATGATCCAAGGGCATGTCGGAGCACTGGGCGTAGGTTCAACACTGAAAGATCTGCGTCGCCTGACACTTTATTAGGTACACCTGTTTAACTGATTGTTAATACAAACATCTATTTAGCCATCCAGTGGCCTGCTGAGTTTAAATTGAGCATCAGAATGTAGAAGAGATTTTAATTTGCATTTGCAAAGAGGTCAAAGAACAATGCAGAGCGCAACAACTGTCTGCATGGCTTTTAACAGAAAATAATAATAGCAAACACAGAATCATTTATAGAAACAAGGTATATACCCGCCGTGATTACAGAATACAATCCGACAAAACAATCTGTACAGTCGAGTATATCTTGTAAAGACATAATGCTATGAAGCCTTCCATTCAGCCATATCAAATTAAAACAGACAGAATCTTCCACCACAACATATTAAGGACATCCGCACTCTTTCACATCATCAGGATCCAAGAACAAACTGCCATCAGTGAGAAAACGATGCTTTAGAACAGCCACTCCCAAAGTCGAGAGTGCTGCAGCCCATTTAAAAAACAGAAAACCTAACGGGGCCCACCCAATCTGTCTCTAATTAAAATACAAAAGAAATTTATATGTTTCCTTGAAAACAAAACAAAACAAACAAACACAAACAACTCAGGCTGTTGGCTATAATTTGCTAATGTTACCCAATCATATGCATAATGTTAAGGCCAGTGTGACCCCGCCTGCCACAGGGATACAAATTTAAATACATGAATGAAATACAAAATTAAGGTCAGAGTAATGAATAATATCACAAACTAACCACCTCGTACTACCAGTTCGAATTCACTTTTTATATAAGTAAATTAACTTGTATGAACATGTAACTTCACATACTTCTGAGTAATTCCAAACCGAATTTCTGTTAATACTGTGGTCCACCCGCAGTACCTTTACAGCCCACCAGAGGGCCCCAGCCCACACTTTGGGAATCCCTGCTTTAGAAAATTACTTTGGACGCTAGAATGTAGGGGAAAAAAATGACCTTTCACATCCTGCAACTATGTGAAAGGTCATCAAAATGCACCTGTGAGAGTTTTCTCCAGTGACTGACCAGAGCAGGAAAAATACCCAGTGTAATGCTTGTTTCTTTTTCTCTGCATCATTGGCATTAAATTTATGAAGTTTTACTACTGAAAATTTTGATATATCCCAGTAGACAGCTGAAGTAAAATTAATTAGGTTGCTGTTTGTAACAAAGCTGAAATGTAATTTTCAGCCTTTAAAATTTCATGTGGTTAAAAAGTTGTGAGGTTTAAAAAAATGCTGGGACATTTAAAAAGTGCCACATTTTGACCTAACACTGTATTCTGGTCTGTAACTCCAGTAATCTATATAGTATGTAGCATTGCGTCCTCAAATATACTGAAGTTAAAAAAGAAAGATCTGATTCTGATGGTGTCGAGTGGGAAGCATTCCAAGAATGTTTCTTTTTTTATTTTCCTTGCAATGACCCATTTGTCCAAATATTGAACATTCATGGAGTTCAGTCTTTGATCTTTCAGAAAAGATGTCCAACCAAATCAGGCTGAGGCTGCTGCCGAGCACCAGGTGTCTGTTTGATGAGCCCGTTCAGCTGAAAGTCGCCGGGCTGCGGTCAAGGCAGGTGGTCACAATCAAAGCCACATCGACCGACGAGAGAGAAGTGGTGTTCGGCTCTTCAGCCACTTACAGGGCAGATGATGGCGGAGAGGTCGACCTGAACCGAGACCCCTCACTCAACGGGAGCTACGTTGGAGTGCAGCCCATGGGTCTGCTGCAGTCACTGAAGGCAGACACTTTGCACAAGTACTTCTTCAAGAACAAAGCTCTGAAACCTCACGTGGTGAAGTTTTCTGTGCATGAGCAGGAGGCGGATGGCAGGATACTGGCAGAAGAGACAAACGAGAGGTTTTTGATGGGAGACGGGGTCAGTCGGGACCCAATCAAAGAGGGGAACATACGAGGAGTCTTGTTTACACCCCCAGGTACTGTATGTTGTTTTCCACTTTGAAGTATTCACTATCATTACAGCGGGGCCCCCCCCCTTTTTTTTAACAGGTGGCGAAGGTATATTTTCTGCAAAGGGTACATCACTTTTCTTGATTCAATTTCAATTCAATTTTATTTATATAGCGCCAAATCACAACAACAGTCGCCTCAAAGTATTTATATTGTAAGGCAGACCCTACAATAATACATACAGAGAAAAACCCAACAATCAAATGACCCCCTATGAGCAAGAACTTTGGCGACAGTGGGAAGGAAAAACTGCCTTTTAACAGGAAGAAACCTCCGGCAGAACCAGGTTCAGGGAGGGGCGGGGCCATCTAGGGTGAGAGAAGGAAGACAAGATAGAAGACATGTTGTGGAAGAGAGACAGAGATTAATAACAGATGTCTTGAAAGATGTCTCAGTTCCTAAAATGCACCTGGAGGACAGAGGAGGGGGTGGCTTGTCATATTAGCTGTAATCATATTTGCACAACTGTGTGCTTTGTAGAAGTACTTATTGTACTACTTTGTGAAGTTATTTAAAAGTATCCTTAAATATAAAAAAAAATGTCTTGAACACCTCTGAGATCATAAAATACAGCACTAATTGGGCTGTAATGAAACTATATGATGAAACTTACACCAAAATCATGATACATGAGTGAAAAACATTTTAATTCATATTTAAACTGGAAAACATTGATGAAGTGTTGAATATGGATCTTTTATTGTAGGGCTTTAGGTTAAAGTTGCACATTATGCATGATTATAACCTACTTACATGAAACTTTTGTTGTCTGTGTTCTAGGAGAAGGTCCGTTCCCTGCTGTGCTGGATCTGGGCACCTTCATGTCTGAGAAAAGAGCCTGTTTGCTGGCCAACAAAGGGTTTCTGGTCCTCACGATAGCTGTGTTCAGTGACAGACAAAATATGAAAGAGATACATCTGGACCCCTTTAAAGAAGCCGTGGATTTCTTACGCCACCACCCCAAGGTGGGTCCAGTGGGTGACATTTAAGCCAGCAGCGTAACATTACAAGAACCCATGTAACTGTGTGTTCAGACCGAATGTGAAGCAAATTTTTTGGGGGGGAAATGATTGCATGCGTAGTCTGTGAAATGCAGTGAACTGGTTAAAAATCAGTCAGGTTTGAAGAATTGCTTGGCAAAAAGTGAGATACTGCTTTAGGGAGTCCTAGTTATGTGTAGTTACGAGTTATGTGGCAGAACACCCTTTTTTTTTTCTTTAAACTGTTCCAGTTTAAATGCCCAGCAGGTCACAACTTTTAATACTTTGGAATTGCCAGTTTCTGAGCTCTGTGTGTGTTTATCACCTTTAATCTGTGTGTTATTTCACAGGCGGGCAGTAAAGGAGTCGGCATAATATCAAGATCAAAGGGAACGGATATCGCGCTCTCTCTTGCTGCATTCGTGCCCGGTGTGGAGGCCTTAGTTTGGATCAATGGCACCAGTGCCAGTGTGGGCACTCCCCTCTACTACAAGAAACAGCAGATCCTCTCACCCTTAATGTTTGACTTCAGCAAGGTGATTACCACCAAGTCTGGAGCAAACCTTATCAAGTATGCTACTGATGATCCCCTGGAAGAGAAGAACAAAGGAAGCCTCGTCCCCATTGAACGAGCCAAGAGCCAGTTCCTCTTTGTGGCTGCAGAGGATGACCTCAACTGGGACAGCAAGGACTACATGGACGAGATGGTGGAGAGACTGAAGCGTTGTGGGAAGGAGAACTTTGAGACTGTTTTTTATCCTGGAGCTGGACATTTGCTGGAGCCACCCTATGGACCCTTCTGTTCCTCTGCTTTACATGGGATGCTTAGCTTCTCAGTGGTGTGGGGAGGGGAGCCCAGGGCCCACGCAGCAGCAGAGATCCACTTGTGGAAGAAGATCCAGGAGTTCTTTAGAACTCACCTGAGTTGTGATGCTGCACAGGCTAAAGCCAATTTATAAACAGGATTTGAAAGATAAAACAAAAAAACAACAACTATTGAATATATTATTTTATTTGCTTGTGAATATTTTCCGTTCTGTCTTTGAATGCATTTAATGTTTGATTTTAATATCAGAATACTTTAATAATTCCTCAAGAAATTATGTGGGTTACAGTTACTCCAGGACAACAGTAACTTCTTCCTCACCTCATCAAGCTCTTCTGACTGCTGCTGAGCTCCAAAGCTTTTTACCTGCCTGGAATTTGTGTTGACTGAATACATAAATCAAGTTTAATACAACGGCATCTATCTTTAAAAGAAAGATTTGTGTTCAGCCTGTGAGTGACCATCCTACAGCTATCTGGGTGAGGTCACTACCAGAAAACAGCAAGGAAGCAGACCAAAGATGCCACCTGGGAGATATCGCTACAGAATACATGTTACAATACAAATGCGAACACACACACACACAGAGGAACAAAAGGTTAAACCATACAAGACCAACTCCAAGTTAAAGAACTGCATTATTATAGCACATTTCTAAAATATATTTCACTACCACAGTAGTACAAGGATGAAAATGGCAGCACAGAAAACTAGCACATTACTCATCAACGCTGCCCTTTTTTATGATAAATAACAATGTATTTTAAAATAACGATGTATTGAAAAACAAGACAAATTAAGTTTAAAAACCTTTTACTTGTAGTTGTGAAAGTATTTGCACCACTATCAACTACAGCAGACTCCAAATGCGATTTTTGTCATCCTTTAATAGGTAGAAAATGGAGAAATTAAAGTAGAAATGACTAAGTCCTACATTTGTGAGTGTTAAACAAATGTATTCCTGCTTCAGCATGTAACTGTAATGACAGATTAACTGCTAACAGACATTATCTGTTTATTAAACTCAAGAATTAAACGTAATTGAATTTATGACTGTTTTATAGGTTCACCTAATTTGTTTACCAATCTAATGTCAGTCATCTCAACTCTGTATTGTCTTTGGTTGCTGACCAACAAGCCAATCCAAATCACTCTTTTCTGCTTTGGGGTGGGACGAGTGGTAAAGGTTCAGGTGAACCTGTGGGACCTGACACAAGTTGTATCCCAATTCAGGGTCTGCAGCCTTAAAGGCCGCATTTTAAGGCCGATTACGTCACCGCGACGCGACGAAGGCTGTCCCAATTCGAAGGCTGCTCGAAATGCGGCCC